TTAATGCCCCCCCTTTGGGAAAGGCTTAAAGACACTTCAGTCAGTAGCATCGCCCGGGAGGTACGACCGTTTCGATTCACACCAGCTGTGTCATTATATCTGTATCTGTATCTGTATCTTAAACATCTGCATCTGTATTTGTATCTTCTGTATATGTATCTACATTATATTATGCATCTGTACCTGCATCGGCTTTATCTGTGTTTGTAGCATCTGTATCTGTACCTGCATCATGATATGTATCTGTATCTATACCATCTGTAACTGTATCTGTATTATTTGTATCTGTTTTATGCACCTGTTTCATGTGTAGATGTCTATCTGCATTCGTAGTACATGTATCTGTTTCTATAACATGTATCTGTATTTGTATCATCCACATATGTGAGACAGCGTGGTGGAATCAGGCTCTCGTCAAAATAATCAAAGTGAAGAAACTTGCATTTTTCCACGGGTTTGTGAATTTTTATCAATTTTTTTTTTTGGCTCAACACCTTTCATGCCCATTAAAAAACCCATTTCTGTGAGGATTTTTCATTAAAGCGTTGATTAAAGGCATAAAAAATGTAAATCTTCAGTTACCACGCACTCTTAAGCTGAGGAAATAACTAATCTTCGGCGGCCATTTTCTCACTAATCCTACCTCTGAAATAAGGTGACCCCCACCTCCTTCTTTTGAAAATATCTCGACTTGTATTCAAGATAAATGGATATTTTTTGCATCCAAATAAAGACAAGGGAACAAGTTTTAGGATGATACCTATAACTCTACATGCCTAAAAAATGACGAGAGCCTGATTCCACCACACTTCCTCACATATGTATTTATCTTACGAACTTTTAACTGTTCAAGTGTCGGTGGCCGACTGAATAATGTGCCTGTGTTTGTGAGAAAGATATTTGTGTATGTTTGTGTGTGGTTTTTTGTGTGTTTGTGTATGTGTGTGTGTGTGTGTGTGTGTGTGTGTGTGCGCGTGTGTGTTCGAACGCTAAAGTCTGAATGTGTGTGCGTGAGTGCTTGTGTGTGCGCGTGTGTGTAGTAAAAGTACATGTAGAAGTTAGTACTTTATCTTCGAGATATCCTATTTCAAGAGGCTCACTTGAACAAAATTAAAATAAAGCAATTATAA